CAATTTTGCCGGCCATCTCACCAGGTCGCCAATTCTGCTGGCCCTGTTGAAAGGGTCAGCACTTAACCCCGCTCTCCGCATTTGCCACAAGCTGCTGGCGGGAACCATTCACGGGCGGAAGGAAAGTCAGGGAAAGATTACCTACCTTGACCTCTTCGCACTGCACTGCATGCTCCACGGGACGTCGTTGCAATCCCGGTTACTTTTTTTTTGAAGGCTCTCAAGGACTTCAGGAGTCGCCCTATAGGAGCCATCCTCATGGGTCCTCTCATCACCTCGCTGACCGAGAAGTGGGGGTGCCGCGACGGAGAGAACATCTCCTCCACTCTTCGGCCCGAGTGCATCAACGGGTCCATGCTCGTCAACATGGGAATGCTCATCCGGCACGGGACCTAGATGACCCTTCACCCTGCGCTCGCCATTACCCTAGATATCCAAGATTTGGAGGCGACGCAGGATATCCCAATACCCTTGAGGTTCGAGCAACAACAACAATAATAACAACGGCAGCAGCAGTAGTAGTATGGGGACGACTTCACTGGTATAAACTGTAACATATACGATATCCGCCAGCAGTTGGACCAGATGTCCCTAAGACAAGACATCTTCGAAACACGGCTGGAAACCTTCGGCTAGATACAGGAAGGGATGAGACAGGACCTGGCTATGATCAGGCAAGATCAGCTCAACTCAATCCGAAGCTAGGAGGAATTCCTAAGGCATATGTTCCGGCAGTTTCCCCCTCCTGGGTCGTCTCTAGGCTCAAGCCCGCTGCCGTCTTAGGGACATTATCAAAATAAACCATTGTACAAATTTTATCGAATATGAATAAATTATTTTGGTAAATTTGTCTGCCTCTGCCTCTACTCTCTTTCTGAAAATTCAGCGCAACAAAAGAAACTAAAAAGTAAAAAGACTTACGCTCAAGCCGAAAAAGCCAAACGACAACCAACAAAGTCGGACGACAAATACCAAAAGATCAAAACAAAGAACTCCCAGCAATCAACGAGCTAGGATGACTATCAGAAAAGTCAAAAATCAAAAGATCCCCGACACACCAGAGGACTTTACCAAGCAAAAGCATTAAAAATCCCAGCGCATGATTGGAATCAATAAGCCGCCACCACAGCCAAAGGGTCAACTATCGCATCGAAGGAGCATCCTGAGGCACCTAACCTGATGAGGGTTCGTACTCATCAACCAAGGGGTCAGTTACCGCATCAAAGGAGCATCCTGAGGTTTCTCACTCGGCGCATGAGCTAGAACAGTAAGCCGCCACCACATTCTCTATCACAAGGTTCAGCCCTGTTACAAAAGGGTATCCAGAATATACAACCCGCCTCTACTGTCCTAAGGGTCAGCTTCCGCAACAAAGGAGCATCCCGGAGACAAGAGTCCACCACCTAAGGGGTCAACTACCGCATCAAAGGAGCATCCCAAGGGAAAATTTTTCATCAGCCGAAGGGTCAGCTACCGTATCAAAGGAGCATCCTGAAGCCTCACAAAATATCGTCCGATGGGTCAGCCTCCGCAGCAAGGAAGCATCCTGAAGACAGCACCAGACTGCATTCATCATCTAAAGGGTCATCTACCGCAACAAGAGGAGCATCCAGAGGATAGCCGGGAAAGAGGGTTAACTCCTTCACCCGCCAATCGACCTTATGGTTCGTTAGCCCATAGTCAATTGGTCGGGTGAAGGGGGGGAAGCTGTAGACCCCAAGTCTTGTCCGACCTCAAAATAAAGAATAGAAGACCTCCAATTCGAAGATGGGCAAGGCCTAAAAGGTCCCTAGGATAGACCAAAATGCCCCATATTAGAATAGGAAGGTTTCTTGTACAGAAAAAATAGGGAGGTCCACCTAGAAGGTCGAGACAGCTGTCTCGCCACTTGCCAATGGCGAGACAACCTTCGTGTTTGGTGAGACGACCTTCTCGCCATTTGCCAAAGTGAGACCGCCTTCTTGATTGGCGAGACGGCCGTATCGCCATTTGTCAAAGGCGAGACCGCCATCCCGTTTGGCGAGATGACGGTCTCGACATTGACAGGCGAGACGACCGTCTGGACCTGATAGGCGCGAATCCCTATAAAAGGAGGGTGCGACCCCTTCCTTTTCACACCATTCTCCAACTTTTTCTTCTGTAATTTCTTCAAATTCTTCTCCTAGATCCCTCCGAAGTATTTTCGAAGCTTCTTAGTATTCTTAGAGGGTATTTTGTAATGTTGCGCGAAAGAGTGATCAACGTTGTAGAGTGAAGGATTGCCAAAAAGCATCATACTTCGAGGATATTAATTACGAAAGCTTGCTTCGAAGGTTTTCATAATTTCTCTCCTTCTTTTACCACTCTTTCTTTACATTTATCTGTGCATTAGCTGCTAGGTCCATGTAGTCAATATTTTAAATTATGCAAATAAAGGGTAAAAGCCTCATTTTAAGATTTACTTATGAAATAAATGGCCCATTATAGCGAACCCGAAAGAGGCGTCGTGGGGGTTCTAATACCTTCCCCACACATAACTAACTCCCTTACCCGACTCTGGTTATAATGGCCAAAGTTGGTTTTTTTTAAACCAATGCCTTCCTTTTTTTCTTTTCCGATGTTTTCGGTAAAAACATCGGTGACAACTCCATAAGAACCATTTTCGAAAACCTCGCCCTTAGGTCCATCCCGGTTATCGGACAACCTAAAGGCGTTGTAACACCACTTTAAAAATGCGAGTTGAAGTCGAAAACGATCGCATTGCTCCGACCGCCTCTTTTGACGGCGGCGACAAATCCCAAATTCAATAAATTATGTACATCTTAACATAGTATTTCATCCTTGAAACTACTATGTCAACTTTCATAAATTCATCATAGATATAACATACATATAACAATATCACATGATATTTCTAACATTACAATAATATATTTTTCTATACATATATTAGAACCCAATAAACATTATTTCATGTTCAATACATGTATTCTATTATTCTAAGTTATGTACATACCATTTCTCACATTTCAGCAAAGAATAAATTTGTGGGTTTTAACCTATGTTTATTATTTTGGTCATAACTTTTTCTACAAATATCCATTTTAGCTAATTCTTTTTTCATTGAATTCCTTATTTCCAAGGATTCAATTTCCATATATGGAACGTTATCTAAGCTATTTTTTAGGAATTTTAGAAGTTCAAACAGAAAAATTCTAAGAAATTTTGCTTGAGTAAAAATATTTTTGATTAAGAGAAAATACACACGAGAATCACCTTATTTTCTAGAAAATTTTCGCTCTAACTTGAGCAAGACTCACTTTCACTTGAGTGAAAATTTCTTTGCTTAAGAACAAATGCACTCGAGAAAATCCTTAACCACCGAGAGTTTTTGCTTGCACGAGATATTTTCTCTTGAGCAAAAATACACCTAAAAGGAGGCATTTCCTCTTCTACACATTTCGCTTGAGCGACCAGTTATCCCTTGAGCGAAACATGAAGATAATAAACCTACATAACTCGTGTTAAAGCACACTCTAGACATCAAACACTATCTTATAAGACTCTATTACTAATTTCCTTTAAAAATATGTCATACCTAATCCAATTATAGCTATCATACCCTAACATTTTATACACATCATTATTCTAAGTCAACTCATTCAATCACAATTTAAGATACAATAAAACAACTCAAATTCATGTAAATCAAACAATATGACCAAGTCACCTTTACAGTCTAGATCATCTATCCTAGGGTACTAAGAAATTTACTATTAACTTCCACTACAAGAAATAATGGATTTATCGACGAACAAAATCCGTCGATAACAACAAAACTCCATCGATAAATATATATTACCGACGATTTACCAACGAAAAAGAATTTGTCAGAGTTTTTCATTGTTGGTAAATATTACCGACGAATTTGAATAGTCTGTCAGTAATTACCAACTAATATATTCGTCATAAAGTGTTGTAGGTAATTACCGATAGATATATCCATCAGAAAGTGTTATAATAATAACCGATAGATATATTTGTCAGAAAGTGTTATAGGTAATTACCGATGGATATATCCATCGGAAAGTGTTATAGGTAATTACTGATGGACATATCCGTTGAAAATATCCATCGGTAGTATCCTAATTTCTTCCAGGTTCCATTTCATTTTTCAGTAAACCATTTTTCCTGCATAATATCACACATTTTATATCACAGGCAACACCAAATCCAGTTCAACTATTTCAGATCAAATTAAACTTAAATATAAGACAAATAACCTCAATTGAAATCAAACATAATTAAAATAACCTCAATTTAAACAAATGACATATAGTTCAAACTATCTATAATGAAACTTAATGTGTAAGAGTAACTATGGTTATAAAGTAGAATAATGTCAAATACAATATTATTTGACAAAATATCTAATAATGGGAATAATCAGGAGACTATTGCCCTTATTGTGTATTGCCTTGTTGTTTTGGGTTGTCCTGTTGTTCTTGATTGTCTTCTTGTTGTTGAGGTTGTTGTTGTTGGTGACTATCCTGTTGGCTGTGTTGGCACTACTGAATGAGGGATTGTGCACCGGGAGATAGGAATTGAACGACTGCACCCACAAGTAATTGAAACTCCCAAAACTGGTGCTCTAGTTGCTCATTATGCTCCCTTGTTCACAATCCAATATCCCCAAATCCGGAACTGCCCAATCAACAACCATGTATCAAATATTTACAACTCAATTCAGCCTTGACCCTAACAACCCAAAGATCCAATAAAAATCCAATTTAAATCCAAAAATCGATCATGGATCAGACAAACTAAATGAAACATTTCAGACAAGATGGTGCCTCGAAAACAATCAGAATGACCAAACTCAAATAGATCAATCAGAACAACCAAACTCAAATTACAAACTATAAATAAGAAATCAAAAGAGAAAGGGAGAAAGAAACCTCACTTAGGCCCGCGACCCTTGCTTCTAACCACCAACCTCCAGGTTGACTTGCGGTGGCTAGGGGGCACGATTCATAGCCAAGGCTCTACGGTTGGGTTCAGATGGGCTCAGGGCGAGGGATTTTGGCGTGATGGGTGAAGGGGGAGCTTGGGACAGGTTTCGCAGTTCCAGCGAGGGGAGACGACCCGCAGTGGAGATTGAGGGGTACTGGTGGAGGCGTAGGGCCAGGAAGGTGCGTCGCGCAGATGAGACAGCCACACGGTGGCTAGGGTTCACTTGTTGTGGTTACGACGGAGATTGGGAAGATGCGGCTCACACTAGGGTTTGAGTGAAGGAGATGGGGGTGTTACGACTGAGACCCGTGGTGGCTGGTGGAAGCTGAAAGTGGTGATGTGAATCACAATGGAGGAGATGTAGTCGCGTGAGGGCTAGGGATGCTTGTGAGTGGCTACTAGCGTTGCTAATGTTGATTTTTAAAAATATATTTTAAATCCGTCAATAATTTCCATCGGTAACTAACTGTTAATTTATCGACAGATATATTTGTCGATAACTAATTGTTAATTTACCGATGAATATATTCATTGGTAAATAATTGTTCATATACCGATGAATATATTCATCGGTAAATAATTGTTCATTTACTGACAGATATATCCATCGGTAAGACCGAATTCCACAAATACTTAAAATTTGTCGGTAATATCCATCAGTAATCACTTATTTTCCGACGATTGCATATCCATCGGTAACTAATTATTAATTTATCGATGGATATATCCGTCGGTAATTAATTATTCATTTACCAACAGATATATCCGTCGATAAGACCAAATTTCACAAATACTTTAAATCCGTCGGTAATTTGCATCGATAATCACTCATTTTCTAACGATTACATAGCCATTGATAATTAATGATTTTCTTGTAATGTTCCCTTACCTTCCAATTTCAGTGTTCTCAAGCTCTCAAGCTTCAAATCTCCAATTTCTTATGGAGTCAGATCCTTCTTACAGAAAACCCCAATTAACAAATTGAACCTATCAAGGTCACATGCAAAACTCAAAGACCCACATGCAAAACCTTAACCCCCAAAATTGTAAAAATACTCTGAAATTGGAAAAAGAAAAACATACTCTATTTAAAATTATGATTAGATGAAAATGTTCCCCTCACCGCTAGGAGCACAATGATGTGTTTGGATCTAGAAAAAAGATAAGAATTGCATAAGAAAATTTTAGGGACAAGTCAGAGGATTTATAATTTAGAGAGATAGTGGTTCTTTAGAAATGAAGTTTGAAACGTAAGGGTTTTCTATTTGAACTATTTTTATCTCAAAGGTTTGCTTCAAACTTTATTGTTTCTTTTTAAACTACTACAATATCGGTCCTTACAAAAAAAATCAATATTGAAAATAATCAATGTAAAAATAATTACCAAAAATATATAATTTAATTAATAAGTAAATACAAAAATGTTTATTTTCTTTTACTAAAACTATGTGATCGGTGTCGTACTCGGTCAAATAAATGCGGATAAATGTAGTACTAGGAAGTGACTCCTAGGTCGTCTCCCAAGGATCATTAGTTTCAATCAAAGATTCACACATCAAACTGATAAAACAATGAGGGGGGGGGGTTGGTTTGTAGATTAAACAGATAGACACAATTTAAATTCTACAAAACAACAACAGTGACAAAAAAGCAGCGATTGAAAACGTATTGATTCCTTAATTCAAATGTAAATCCACCTATCACAGATTACCAAAATGAATGCCCTATTCAATCTTGAAACCCAAAATTAGACAACTAAGCGAAGACTAAAAATGAGTCCAATATGCATTAAGCAAGCATACATCATTCAACCTTGGTGTCACGGATTAAGCAACCATGTAGCAACCCACATCCATTAAGCATGAACAAGGGCTGTTTAAATTAAAGAACACAAATATGAGATTAATCATACATCAAATTTGTGATCCCTACATCAAGCACAAAGTAATTAGATGAAGACCAAAACGGGACATGGCAGAAACGTTACATAACACAAAAATCTCAAGGGTTCATCACATTCTCCTTAAGGAATCAATACTTAAAGTTTAGCTAGCCATGGAAATGAACTGCAACTACAGAAATGAACAAAAATGCTTCATCATATATATGAAAGAACTGAAAATCGAAACTCAAAGATCCAAATATGCAGAAAAATCGAAAAACCCCAAATGGGCAGTGTTCCAAGCGTCAATCCAGAATACCAAGTTGTTCCAAGCTGAAAATTAGAAGAAAACATGAAAATGGAGTCTATCCAAGAATGAAAACGCAAAACCTAAGTGGTGGCACCATGGAGAGCTTCCCTAATGGCAAAAATGGAGAATGAGTGTTTGGAAGAAGCCCCCTCTCCTAAAAATGAAACCCTCTCCCGTATTCCCCTCATCTCAGCACTCCATGATTACAAAAATGTCATTCTAGGGTTTAGAATTACAAAAATGCCACTCTAGGCCTCAAATGTTGGCCCAATCACTTAAATGAAGTGGAAATGATGTGGAAACTCTCTTCATCTCAAGGTTAATGTCCAAGCTCCAAAATTGCTTCACCAAAAATACCTATAAGTAATTAGAAACGAAAATTAGACCAATTAATGCTAAATTAAGAAAAATTCGAAATAATGACCCAATGAAGCCCAATCAATGAAAATGCATTAATAATAGACAATTAAGCACAATGTGAAAGTGATGAAGATCTTATTGAATTGCTTTGGCAAAGATCTTGCTTGATTTAATGAAGTAAAAAATGAAGTCAAAGGCTACTTTGTGGCAGTCAAAGGTCACTTAGATAAAAGAGTAGTGGGATTAGAGAGTCTACATCTCTGCTTAGGTATAATCATTTTTATCTCTCTGTTGCATGAGGGTTCTTCATTTAAAAGATTCTGCAATTGCCTCTAAAAAATGTTTAAACGATTAAAAACAAAGTATTTTGTTAAAAGGTTTTTAACCAACTATTTTAACTAATAGTATATAACCTTTATCGACTAAAATGTTCTTAACACTTTTGTAACAGGTTTTTAACCGATATGTTTTCGAAATAATTGATTGTTTTCATTAGAAGGATTTTTGAAAACCTTCTGCCAGTATTTTAACTGCTATAGAATTGATATAATCGATTAAAATGACTTAGAATATTTTGAAAAGTGTTCTGGCAGAATTTTATTCGATACAAACTTGAAATAATCGATTGAACTAACTTGAAGTGTTTTGAAAGTTGTTCTGTCAGTATTTTAATCGATACAAACTCGAAATAATCGATTAAAACAACTAAGAGGTTTTTTCCAGAATGTTTTAATCGATTAATACAAGCTTGCTATCAGTTAAAATAACTTAGAAAGTTTTATGAAATCTTTTGGCAGAATTATAATCGATTCAAATGCGTTTCAATCGATTAAAATAACTAAGTGAATTTTTTTTAAAGTGTTTTAATCGATTAAAACATATTATTATCGATTAAAATCACTTAGAAAAGTTTATAAGAATGTTTTGCGATATTTTAATCGATTGAAAGATCGAAACAATCGATTAAAACAATTTGGAAGATTTTTTACAAAGAGTTTTAATTGATATAAACTAGTGTCGTATCGAGTTAAAACAAATCTAGAAAATAATCAAGAACTTTTTAACAGATTAAAAGAAGTTTTAACAGATTAAAACAAGACTTTTAATAGATTAAAAGATTATTTTAACAGAATAAATAAAAAAGCAGTTTTGAAAATCTTCTATATAAACAGAGTTGCTTGAACTTTTTAAAACACATCTTTTAGCAATCAATCAAGCAATCATAAGTGCTACTTTCAAGAGAGAATCGCGCTAATTTTGTGAAGTTCATAAAAGTTCTTTCTTGAGGCAAAATTGCATTCTTTTGGAGAAGAAACACATACTGCAGAGCTACATAAATCTGGTTTGAGTGTTCTAGTTTCTTCTATATGTTTCTTTACTTTCTTTACTGTATTGTGGGTGCCTGGAATTGTGGGCACTGGTTTTTGTAGATGGAATTTGGCTGCAGGGTTGGTCAAGAACTGGAATTTGGTTCTTGGTGAAGGTTTAGGTGCAGGAACTAGAATTTTGATTCTTGTGGTAGATTGAGTGTGAGATTAAAGTTGTAATCTGTAAAACGTTCAATCTAGTGGAACCCAGCTGGAATTTGGCTGGAAACTGGACGTAGCCCTGAGATTGGGTGAACCAATATAAATCTTGGTTGTATCTTTCTAAACCTTTCTCTCCTTTATTTCTGTGACTGCATTTATTTTGATTGCTTGCTGTGTGTGATTCAAGAACTGGTCAGATTTCTTAATCTTTGAAATAGATAATCTGTAAATTGCGAAAATCTTTCAAAGATCAATTCACCCCCCCTCTTGATCTCAGCCTACATTTCTAACAATTGGTATCAAGAGCAAGGGTCTTGAAAAATACTCAAGGCTTTCGGTCCAAATCTTTAATGGCTGAAAACAAATTACCTTTTTCTAAGGGAGCTTCTATTAATAGACCTCCACTGTTTTGTGGAACAGATTATCCATTTTGGAAGATTAGGATGAAGATCTTTATTGAATCTATTGATAGGAATGTTTGGGATGTAATTGCTAATGGTCCATTAATTACAGAAAAAGAATGGTCTAGTTTAAATGATGAAGAAAAGAAAAAATTTCAAAGTGATCTGTACTGCTAAAAACATAATTACTTCGCACTAAATATGGATGAGTTTTTCGGGGTTTCCCAATGCAAATCTGCCAAGGAAATGTGGGAAGTTCTTGAGGTTACTCATGAGGGAACAAGCTGATGTAAAGAGAGCCAGAAAACATACTCACATAAGAGAATATGAGTTGTTTAAAATGCAAACTGGAGAAAGTATTGCAGATGTGTAGAAGCGCTTCACTCATATCATCAATCATCTAATGGGCTTAGGTAAAACTTTTGATAAAGAAGAACTAAATATTAAAGTTCTAAAATGTCTTGACAGGTCATGGCAGCCTAAGGTCACAACAATCTCAGAATCAAAAGACTTATCCGTCATGACAACAACTTCCTTGTTTGGCAAACTCAGAGAACATGAAATGGAAATTAACAGATTCAATGAGCAAGAAGTCTCTGAGAAAAAGGGTAGAAGTATAGCACTCAAGGTTGAAGAAAGAAGTCAAGAATCAGAGGAGGAAAGTGAAAATCTTGGACTGCTTGTCAGAAAGTTCAAC